GTCGGTGCACTGCAGAATTTTTTGTTTCACCATCCTTCTCTCCTCTATTAGCCTCCAAGTGTCCGTAGTGAGCCACGGTTTGTCCTGTCTCTTCTTTCTGCCCAGAACTTCCATGCAGGTTTCGCTCCATACTGTTTTCAGGTTGTTCCAGTGTTTTTCGACGCTGACCTCTTCGCCAGTGTTGATTTGTGTCTCGGCTTTGTCCTTTATACTTGCAGTAAAGATATCCTTTGTATCCTGGTCCTTTAGTTTTTGAGTGTTGAACTTGGCTTGTGGTCTATCTGCAGCTCCTGTTTCTCTGAAAGCCTTTAATTTGAGTTGGATTGTTCCTTGTACGAGGTAGTGGTCTGAGCCAACGTCTGCTCCTCTTCTTGCTTTTGTGTCCAGTAGGCTGCGCCGCCACTTCCTCGAGATTGTGATGAAGTCAATTTGGTTTTTGGTTCGCCCATCTGGTGACACCCATGTAGCCTTGTGAATATCCTTGTGTTTGTATACGCTGCCACCAATCACTAGTTCATTGAAGGCGCAGAAGTCGGCGAAGAGTTCTCCATTTTCATTCATCTCTCCCAGAGCTTCTTTACCCATGATGAGTTCCCTTCCTGTGTTGTCTGGTCCCAGTTTGGCGTTCATGTCTCCCATTAGTATTTTGATGTCACCGGCTGGAGTATTGTCTATTGCTGCCTGCAGTTGTCTGTAGAATTCTTCTTTCTTTTCGAGGTCTGCGTTGTTGGTCGGTGCATAGCATTGTATAATTGACACTTTCCTTCTTTTGGAGTTGAATCTGGCGGTTATTATCCTGGGTGAGATCGCCTCCCATTGTATCAGAGCCTTGGTTGCCGTTGGTGACATCATTATAGCCACGCCCTCGGTGTGTGTGTGGTTGTCTTCTGGGTGACCGGAGTAAATCACTGACTCACCTGTTGACAATTTGGTGAGTCCGTATCCGTTCCATCTGCTTTCGCAGATCCCCAATACTTGTAGTCCGTATCTCCTCATTTCGCTTGCGATCTGGGCAGCTTTGCTAGTCTCGTACATGGTGCGGACATTCCATGTCCCCACACAGACTTTTTCTTTTGACGCAAGGAGACTGTTCACGCTGAAGTTTCTGTAGCAGGTTTGTTTACAGGGTGGGGTTGCTGGCCTCACGCCTGAGTTTAGTCTTTGGGTACCTGAAATAGAAGAAAGGTTAGTGTTGCGTGACCGCAGAGCCCAGGGGACATTATATGCACCCAAATAAGATACAAATGCTCCTGAAACATCATCTTTACAAGTATATAAATAGGATTGTGCGTCAGGGTTGGTCCAGGCTTTGGTCCTCAGCAAACGCATTCCTAAATGTTGCCGAACTGGCAGTAAAGCCAGTAAAGAGGGAAGGTTGGGCATGACGCTAGCAGCCCTACCCCGTAAAAGTAAAAAAGGAACACCACTGCTACCCAAACTTCAAAACTCTACCTTGAAGCCCTGTGTTTCACCGGCAACTTAAAAGAATAAAATAATAAATGATATAAATTCGTTAGCATGCTAATAATCAATCTTTTCATGCAACAAACATTGTCTAGACTTTTAGGATCCTATTCTAGTGGGCATCAAGGGTAATAATATATTTCTGTATAGGTGATTACTTTGTTTTAAATAGACAATCAATAGACAAAATTCACAATTCTCCTCAAGTTAGCCAGAGCAATCTCTATCAAACCCCTGAAACCTGATCTATGTGTTCAGAAACAAGCAGTTATCAGTCTTTCCTCACCCTGGTAACTAGATGTCTTCACACACACTCTCTCTCTTTCATTTGATTACGCAGTCTTTGGCGTTAACCTCAACCCCCTTTCCATCTAGTGTAATTTTGCTGGTCTCTTGTTTCTATGATTTGAGTTGAACTCAGTACATTGTCACTCATTTTATCAGTTACTCATCATCTTACGTACCTCCCGTCCTTATTACGCAACTCCTTTACTATTGTATGCATACATTCACTTTGCTTAAACTTGAACCCCTTGTGTAAAGACCATATAAGCATAATTTTCTGAGCGCTGTTAACTAAGCTTGGAACTTCCTGTAAACTGACATCATGTACAAATTTGAAAGTATGTTAAAACTCTTGTGTACATGAACTTAGCAATAATTTCTTTAGACTGTAAGCAGCTGATGAGAAGCCGACAGAATAATTGATGGCACCATATTATTCTGCATAAACCACTGCTGTTCTTGCTTTATTCACGTTAAACATGTTCATTTTCAGAAAATTCTTCTTTTGTGTGTTCAAAATATGTTACATCAGGTAACCTTCTTATTAATGATATAAGTAGGTTGGATAATTACCGAAAAAATAAGCAACTTGTTTAAAAAAACTTCTTTGATAACACTTGACAAATAACCACAGCTAATTATTATTCCACCTTTAACCATAAATTTCATAACCATTTAGTGTTCAGCCTAATATCACAGAAGGTCTTCCTAATTATGGTATACTGGATCATGAGATAGAATGTGGAGAGTGAGAAGATAGGATTACATTGAATAAAAACATACTAGAAGATCTGGACATCTTGCCGCACAAACTGCAAGTTTTACAAGCGAAAATCTACAAGTTGACAGAAGCGGCAGGCAACGAAGACTGGACTTCAGTTCAGCATGGACAAGACAGAGGGAATGAAGATATCCAGCCAACGAAAACAATACTAATCACCATCAACGAGGGAAGTTCAAAGGAAGTCACCTCATTCATCCTTATTCGTAGCATCCTTTTAATTACCAGTGATGTAGATGAGAATATCCAAAGCAGGATAGCAAAGGCAAGAAATGCTTTTACTAACTTGAAAAATCAGTCTGGAAATCTCCTGAAAGTCAGCGTAAAGAACAAGATTCGGATTCTCAACACTTATGTTAAGTTAGTCAATGCTTCTATATGTTTCAGAAACTTAGAATGTTATAAAAGGCATTCTCAATAGGCTGCAAACATTTATCAGCGGCCACCTTCGGTCCATACTAAAGATTAGATGGTCAGCCAGAAACGATAAGTAGGAAGGAACTCTGGTAGTGGACGGAATATGAATCTATCTCAAAATCAACATGCAGAAGGAGGTAGAGGTGACTTGACATAAGCTGTGGAGATTACTGAGTCATATCATACACCAAGGTGTAGAGTGGAACCTGAATAGGAAGCAACTAGTTACACGTCTCAGGGTGACGTGGAGATGATGCAAAGAGGAAATAAAAGCTTGTGATTAGTCGTTAAGCCAACTTAAAATGACGGCAGAGGACGGAGTACAATAGAGATGAGCTTTCTGAATCCCTGTTTTCCATTCGGAGCTCAACAAACAAATAAAAATGTGAGGTGATGAGTCCAATGTCTTTGCTGTACAGTTCTGACAACTTTTTTAAATCAAGATTAAAAGAAGCTAGAATTGCCTGTATCGAGTCTTATGTGTGTTTGATGCGACACAAAATACTTTTGTGTATGTTAAATTGCAGATTGGTAAAATGCTACTAGAAATTGCTCATTCATTGTAATTAGAGTATATTTATATGCATTTGCTACCACCTTTTCAGGGAAGAATACTTTCTGTGTGAAATTAATTTAGAAGGAGGAATTTCTGTCTTCTTATCTTTTGTCACAAAAGACGAATCTTACGCTGTAAATACATACAGATACAAAGGGATAGAATGAACTCAGGTAACCGCGGTTTTCGGCGATTGTGAATATATGAGAAGTGTAACAGATGTTACAGGATTCTTACAAATAACTGATATTCCAGCTACATAATAATCTTCAGACTTATTACTGATGAATCAACATATTGGCCAGTATAAAGCATTGAAAAACCTTAAAAAGATCAAATATTAGATTTGAAGTCAACGGAGCAGCTAATGGAAATCTATGTGTATGAAAATAGCGATAAAATGACAGAAACAGTGACTTGTGGAGGAATTCTTTCAATTCATTTGTTTTGAAGCTCATTGTAATGATGCATAGGACGCTAACACGTACTTAATGAAGGAAACAGTTAATACGCCTAGTGTAGTATGACATGAAAGCATTGTAAATGTGTGAGAATCTCATCTTTGTCACCAAATAAAATATATGTGTATCTTAACGTTTTTTTATTGTTCATTATGCATGCTGAGAATTATTTGCCGGTAATGTGCGTCCGTGATTCAGTGGTTGAGTACCCACGAAACACAGACGTAGTCCAGGTTCTATTCCGGGTCGATGAGCTCTTAAACCTCGTCTAGTTAACTAGTAGGTAGTTAGCCAAGTAAAAAGGGATGGTCGGGAGTGAGGCTAGCAACCCTAATCCGTAAAAACACCACCACCTAATGGAACTTTAAAGCCGAAGCCAGAAGCCTCGTGTTCCGTTCCGAAATGTAATGGAATTAAAAGGAGAAAAATGTGCTGGTAATATTGTCTTCAGCTCTAGAGAAAAATATGTATATTATAATTGTGGCGCTACTGATAAGATTTATCAATAGTATATAAAGAGGTGTTCATAGGCATAACAAACATCAAATAGCATTGAGATACATTTGATGTCAGAGAAGGCAAATGATATAGCCTTGCTAAGATACATGGGAGACGTGAAAGGAGCACAAAAAAAACACAATATGAAGGCCAGTAGTAGTACAACACGGAAAATCTGTGCAAATGGTGCGTTAAAGATAAGGATTACATTATATGGCTATATGGAGATACCAAATTACTAATAAACATTCCTTTACCACCTCTTTCGTATTCTACCGTTTCATAATGACTATGACCATTGCACTTACTAAAGTAAACTAGTATTTTGGTTTCTTTTGGATACATCTGTTGCGAACCACTAAGGGTTGATTGACACTTTCATATTGGAGTAAAACTTGTTTTAAGATTTGCTCTCTTCTATATTCCAAAAAACCTTCAATATAATATACATCGTAAATAAACACAAACAGTTACTTTCCATTGTGTTCAACAAAAAGAAATAGAAGGGGGAAAGGAAAGTAACATTTAACAACTTTACCTTTTAATATCCGGTGTTTTTGGTTTAGATATAAAACTCTTAATACTTTCACCTAAACGTCCAGTAATACTGCTCGCAGATGTTTCTGTATGCTGGGGCAGAGTAGAATTGGGTGACATTTTTTGTCCTTCAGTAGTACCAAGTTTTTGAATACATTGTTTACAAACCCATTGAATCTTGAAACAAAAAGGGAAAATAACCTTAATTAATATCATAAATAGAAATTATGCATGATACAAAACACTGACTATTGTCAGGAATTGTTAAAGCAATGCTTATTAGACAGATTATAGTGGGCTGATTAACCTTCAAATGGGTTTCCTACAAGGTACTAAATCATTGAAACCATACAAATAAACATATACTCCTTATAATCTAGTCACTTAATCAAAATCAATATTGTTCCGAATGACAATAATGTATTTAATAGATGCATATTTGAGGAATCTCAGCACGGATACAGAAGGCTGACGTGGCATTTGGCAATTTATGTCGTCTCTGTAGGGTAGGCGTGATATCCAGCTATCGATAGAAGGGTGTGCGTACTGTACAGCAGTTCAGTTGATGAGGTTGTGTAAGCAAATCGACTGACATGGCTAAGAAAAATGTTGTGCCTGCCAAGCCAACGCCTTCATTGACGAGCAATAATAACTGATTTACGGTTAGGTTGCAAAAGAGTTAGAGGTGGTCAAACCAAAGCCTGGCATCAGTCTATGAAAACTTTAACAGTTGATTTGAACCATCCACGTAGCGTGGTGTAGACCTTCTGGTTGGAATCTTAGGAATGCTAAGAACCAATGACTTGGGTTATGGCTCAAAATCGTCCTCACTACCACAGATGCATTCTCTCTTTGTGACCTTCCATACCACTGAACCCCCATGTTTTTCCCTGTTACTATTTTCTCTTTTCCCAGCCAACTTCTGCCTATTAGAGCTCAGCTTAATCCCATTCTTCTCGCCTTTCTTCACCTTTGTGTGCTACATGGAGTGCCGCATTTCTGTGTGAAGTTATGCTGAAATTTAGTTAGTCTGTCAGTCTAGGTAAATCAGAGATATGAGAAATCTCATCAGCTTTTTGGCGGATAACAAAGTTAAGTATTTCTTTTCTTCTAATCAGATAACTTGGATAATATATAAGTAGTATTAGAAATAATTTAAGCATTTCCATATCTGTTCTCATATCTGTTCCATAACGCTGGAGTTTATTTCAAACAGCTATCTGGGATTTCAGCTATCTTTCATTGGCATCTGGTCAGAAATACAGTCTCTACTCTGAAGAAAGCGCAAGCAGATGAACTGATCAAAATGAAATGACTAGATATTAACGAAACGGTGAGTATCATGGGTCAGATTAGATGATATGCGAAGATGCTTCATATGTTGTAGATTAAATCTGAACTGTGTATACATTTGTTGTTGAGATGCATTCTGGTTAGTTAACAAATGCTGACGGTGTCCACTTTCCATCTTATAACAGCAGAAGAAAAGACATGAAAACTATGGGTATATTTTCAAGTAATCAAACAGCTATGTATATCCATACAGTATTATACTATTAAACCAATCACTGAGCACGTGATTTTGGTTTACTTTAGACGACATGAAATAGAATGTTCAAATGCATACAGAGTATTCTGTTGCTAATGCAGTATTGAACTGTAGGAATATGTGAGAATAATATTCCGTTGGAATACATTGTTTGTATCACACCACCACACTATAACCAAAGATGTCGCTTACACATCTTGATTATTATTTTTTTTTTGATTACAGCTTGATTCCACACGGTATTTTTTTGGTACAGGTATGGAATTTTTAGCATGTGATATCGGTGGCCCAAATTTTGCAGGCCGACCATAGATATCAGGTGTGCGTCGCAGGGGATCGAACCCTGGACCATGTGCATGGTCGGCGAGAGTCCTAACCACTGTGCCACCGATGATTCTTCATATAAAGTGATTTTGACTAAATCAGATCTGTCTGTTCGTGGCATGGATTACGAAAGCCTTAGGAAAAAGGGAACCGTTTTAGAAACTGAGGCAAAAGGTAGTTCTTTTCTACTGAATACGTAACATTCTTAAATATTTATCTTTCAATGCAAATGATACGAACTTACCACATTGGGTTTTATTTCTGAATGATTACCACATCGTGTACACGTTCTACGCTTGCAATACACACATGAATTTCCAGAGTTGTCAGCAAATTTAGTTTTATGACATGATTCACATACATTGGCTGTATGACTGCCTCCAATACCAGTGACTCCAGGTTTATTAGTACTACTTGTACCACCACCACCACCACCACTGCCGCCGCCGCCAACTCCACCACCACTAACTGCGTGTACAGCTTCAGCCATTATATTGGCTACAGTACTCCCAAATGGTAATGAGGTATTTGTGTTACTAGTTGAATGTGATTTATTCACAATTTCACCATTAATTATTGTAGAACTAGGCGATTTTTCACTGGGATTTGACATATGTGCAGTTCGTGGAGTACTGATGTGATCTTTAACATTCTGTTTACTTTTATTTGATGATGTTATTTGGAAAGAAAAAAAAGAGAAAAGTAAAAAACAAACACGTAAGTTTAAAACATAATAATTTTTTAATAACATCTGCAAGTGAAATTATAAACACAATTTTCAAGGGTTAGTTTGTAGGGATTCGATTTGTTCCAAATTTGCCCATTGGATTAATGTTAGTTGAAGAACCATTGGAAACCAGGAACTGCTGGACAGCTATTTCCACCTACTTTGGGATTCTTCATGAGTACATAAACATGGCCCACCAGGGAACAAGCCAAGCTTGTTAACCATTCAACCACTTGGGACGGAATTCAATGAATGTTGAATTATAAAATCTTTCCATTCGCGCTTTTAGCGCGACTGACAGCCAATGTCATCGGCGAATATTTATCCTCACAACAAACGTGGTCAACCTCACTGGTCATGACTTCGCACTAGAACTGCAGGCAACGTCCCTAGGTATTCAGTCACTGGTGAGCATCAGATCAGTTCTACAGAGTAAGTTTGTAGGAATTTGACTTGTTTGTTGAAGAGTATCAGACTAGGACGAAACAGCTATCCAGTACTTTTTTTTACAGTGGTTCTCTAAATGATACCGATCTGTGATAAAACTTGAAATAAATAGAATTATTTTGCCAATTGTTCATACTGTTCAAAGATGGTATAAATAATCCAGTCTTAGATGGGGTTATTTATAATATTTTAAGGACGTTTATAAAATCATTGACGCTAGTACTAAGTAGTGCTAGTCTGTATAATTCAGTAAGCATCATCTGTTTTAATTTTGGAGAAACGCTGTACTTACAGACACAAAAAATGGATAGACATTAGGCATCGTGGTTTTTGAGTTCAAACATCGGACATCTTGTCATGAATGACTTGTTAGTCTGCATAAACACTTTGTTAAATATACCACTTTCCACTTGTTCTCGTTGATTTGGTATTTTCCGTTATTTGATTATATCAAACCTAAATGTCTGGTCTCTTGGCCTTAGTGCAACCTAGAGAATTATACTTTGACGTTTGAATCTATGGATGTCGGATTCGAGTCTCATTCGGAACACTACTGCAGGTGCGTACAGATGATGAGTCCCAAATACGGCAGCATACGCATCGTAGATTCCACTGCTAGTCAATATTTACCGAATAACATCATGCTATTTTACAATTTAATTGATGCACATATATATGTTCCAGCCTATGTCCATTATACAGTATAAAAATGAATTATTAATGACGCGTAACTTGGTTTTTAAAAGGTCCCGAGTTAACAATGAGTGCCGTCAATGCATGTGTTAATATGACTCAAAAGGTAATTGTATATTTATTATTCAGCACACTACAAGAAGCTTGTCTTCATTGACAGAATGGAACTGGATAAAATAGGAATTATGCATAGAAGTAAGGGAAAGCCTTCACCAGACAAAATATTCACAATTTAGTATTTTAATTTTAGGTTGGACCACGGGTTGATATCAGTTAGAGAACCATTGAAAACCAACAGGGAGTACTGGACAGCTGTTTCATGCTAGCTTGGGACTCCTTGATGATATGCACCTACTGTGTTTCAAACGCGGGACCTTCCGGTTACTAGACAAGCTCATATACCATTAAGCCACTGGGACCCGATTCAATGGACAGCCCATGAATTCTAACTTCTACCAATTTGTGGTTTCAGCGTGACCACCAACAAATGTCATCAACGGGAACTCCATCATCTGCTGCTCGCAAGTGACTGGTTACAGAACGAAGTTGCTTGGAGTTCTAGTGAGAAGTCGCGACCAGTGGGGTCTATCCAGGTGGGAGTGAGGATGGAGTTCCTGCCGATGACACTGGCTGGTCATCGCACTAAGAATCACGAATTGTTAGAAGTTAGAATTCATGGACTGGCCATTGGATTGGATCCCAGTACCTGAAGGGTATACGAGCTACCTTGTCTTGTAACCGGAAGGTCCTGGGTTCGAAACCCAATGGGTGTGTACTGTCGATGGGTCCCAAACTGGGATGAAACAGCTGACCAATAGTCCTTGCTTGTTTTCAATGGTTCTCTAAATGATGTAAATCCGTTGTCTGAACTGAAACAAACAGAAACCCCACAAACTAATTCTTGAAAGCTTAGAATTTTTATCTCAAGGAGTTCTTTCAGTTTATTCTGATAATTATAAACGCTGGTTAACAAGGAAATGTAGCATAAAAGACATAAAATATTCTAAGTACTGAATTCACCCATATGAATTAAATTCAACATGGTATGGTCACAGAAAAAACGTGTGAAATTTTATAATCTGAACAGAAGATTTTCATGCATTAATTGGAAATAAGGATTAAAGATTAAATTTGATGAGTTATAAATTCATTCTTTTTTGATATCGTCAATTTATAACGTTTGATAGTGTGAGATTAGTCAGATGAACTCAGACATTTATCAAGATAGTTGAAAAGAATGCGTGTGAAAATCAAAATGAGAATAGTTAGATGAAGAAAAAAGAAAAGAAAATTCAGTAAATTAAATATAAGCTATTAAGATTCTAATGAAGGTGGATTTTACTAGCTTACTCCCTTATTCTCCTATACACTCTTGAGATTTCTATCATTTTATGAAGGAATAAACTTCGATTTGAAGTAATTTGGTGAGGGTGCGTGTGTGTGTGGCTAGGAGTGAAGTTCAGAATACGCATTTCTGGATGTACTTGCATTCCCCAATAAGTAATCGTGTTTCCACTTAGACTCGAACCCAGTACCCATCGTTTCAAACTCTAGAGCGTTATCCACTAGTTATTAGTGTTGTTTGAGTACATATTTTCTGATTCATTACTGTACTTATACAATCTGATCAGCTTTCCTGTTTCCACAAGCGTTAAAGCACCTTACGTGTTTGTATACATAAATATATGATAACCTTTGTGATTTAAGACCGTTATGCACTGAAGACAAACTAGGAAATAAAATTCAGAAACTGATTAAAAGTTCAAAGCACTTTTTGCATGACTTGGGAGTAAGGATCAAGGCAAAAACCATGTATTTACTCGCATAGTATAACAGATATTCTAACTGTGTAAAAAAAGTTCATAGAACACCTTCAAAACAGTCAGGCGTCACATCTGATACGAATACAACGTTCCTATCAGCTTGTAATATAACATTACATAAGACCAACTACTAGAGGAAATTCAGACCACAACTTGCCACCTTCATTCTATCCGGTCAAGTAGATAGAGACAAAACCACGACAAGTTGGTTTTGCTTTATTTTATATACTCACCTGTGGTTTCATGCTTTTTGATATTCACCTGAATGGAATACAAATCACTTTGAAGAGATTTTTATATTTTCACAAAGATTTGGGCTTATGTCACCAAGTTCTAGTATCAGAGATGCACATAATTAAGTCAAGGTTAAGTGTGTATTGTTAATATTTTTTTCCAAGGAAGAAAAGTCATGCGTTAAAACTTCTACATAATCCTTCATTGTAAATTATTTTTACAAATTTATATAATTGAAAGTGTCAATTAGTGTTGTGATTCTTTTTCATTGATGAACACCAACTTCTTTAGTCAGAGACGTCACCAATAACCTAATTGTGCCAGTATTTTCTGCTAATGTTCAAAAGAGTACTGTGTGTGTGTGTGTTAGTTTCTTAAATTTACTTTGATAGAGAAGTACTCAATTGATTTAAGACTATTCTGTGATGTTCACTGTTTACAGTAATGAAATTAGTAAATCATTTAATTTTACTTTAGATTTTCTCGTCAGTTGATTGGACCAAAGTGCTCGGTCTCAGGTTGACATGTCGGCTCCCTGTGCAGATGCTTCAATGATGTCTGATCATGTTAGCTGAAGTCAACTGGTGGATAGTGACTAACAGTGGAATCTAGGATGCACATTTCGTCCTATTTAAGACTCCTGACCCAAGTGGTTTAGTGGATAACGCTTTGGTGTTTGAAACTATGGGCACTGGGTTCGAGCCTCAGTGGGAATACCATCAGTCACTGGAGAATGCAGGCAAATCCAGATGACCAGTCTTACATAGGACAAAATGCGCATCCTGGATTCCACTGCCAGTCATCACCCACCAATTGACTTTAAAATTAGTAAAGTTTATAAATATCAGTGGTAAGAACAAAATTTTATTTCAAGGAGAAGTTGTTGTTGAAATAAACAGCTTTAGTCACGTACAAAATTATTCAGATCTGACAGTCATTGAGTGTGTCTAAGACAAAGGCTAGCGGACCAAGGGTAATGAACGTACCAGTGTCCTTGAAGCGGTAAATTTGGGTCTCTAAATCAACATTAACCCACATTGTTCCTCAACCTAAGCACAACCTATCTCCAGTCTCTCCTCAACGTAGACTAAAACTAGATGTCCTCATTAATATTCTTACTATTTTTAGGAATATTATGTTATCTACTTGGTTTCACTAACATGCTGTGCTAACACGCATTCCCAAGTCCCTGAGTTGCTATTCTTTAACTTCTGCTTCACCTTTAATTTATTATCGTCTTCTTTCACATAGAGATCATGTACTCCTATGATTGTGCGTTCTTATCGACTTCTAAAAACATAACAGAATATTAATTGCCATTGTTTTAAGTTTCCATGTTTTTAAAACAATAAGCTAGCCATGTTTATGTATAACGCATTTATAAATGAATTTTATTCTTAATTCAGATTAGTTGCAGGATTTCATCATTAGCTGACTTCAGTCAGAGAACCACTGGAAAACTTGGGAGTGCTGGACATCTGTTTCCGCCATCCTAGTTTGGGACTCTTCAGCAGTACGCACTCACCGCAGGGGTTCGAACCCAAAGCCCCCTAGTTACAAGGTCAGCGATCTCGTAGACCATTAAGCCACTGGGACTCGATCCAGTGGTCAGCCCATGAATTCTAACTTCTGCCAATTTGTGACTAAATGTGACCACTTCGCAGTGTCTTCTTAGATGAGTAACTGTCCTCACCTTCGACCGGCTGTATCCTACTGGTCACGACTTCCCACTATA